TAATTTCAATTTCACTAAAATCAACAGACGTTTGCATTGTAATGTGGGTATATTATCAATTTCAAATGAAAAAAATAGTTCATTGACATAGAACACTTCTCCTAATAAATAAATAACATTTCCGAAAAAAAAAAGCGCAGACATTACGTAGATAATAGATAATAAATTATAAAGATTAGATATGTATAATAGAAATGGATGCTAAAAAGAAGTAAATATGGAGGTACAGAATGCGTTCCAACCTTTTAAACAGGAAAACAGGTAAAAGACTAAATGGACAGACAATGGATACAGCTTTTAATTTTTTTTTTTTTTAAGAAGCGCCGCTATTTTACCAAAAGAGAGATTCGTTTAAATAATTTCCGTAAATCAGGTAAAATTACCAGAGACGAGAATGGTAAAATTTCAAATCGAAATAGCCCTGAGCAGTGAGACCGGGCGTTTTTCGCCCGGAATCGCTTGGGGTTGTTTTCCCATCTATTTCGACTTTTTCTTCGCCTAACTCTTTTTCCACTTTAATCTCATCGTCATTTACTACCACTGAAAGTTTTTCGATACCGTTTTCGATAGCTTTTTCCTCTCTTTCATTGGATTGGTCTTTTTCCGCATTCTGTACCTCGCCATTTTCAGCACCGTCGTTTCCATCGAGTTCGTTCTGTTCTTCGCTTGTAGTAAGAGACAGGGATGAAGGACGTTCCAATTTGGGCTTATCCTCTTCTTGACTGTCTTCGGCCTCGGGCTGAACATCACTGGAATTTGGTAATTAAACTAATGTGCGACTGCAAATTATTGGGAGGCTATTTGGGACCTGTACGGGATAAACGGAAATAAAAAAAAATAATAAAAATTAAAACAAAAAAAAATAAAATTGTAATTTAAATAAATTAATTCATAACGAAAGATGATGTAACCGAGTCCACATCGAATCGAAAAAAAATTAATAAACTGAAGATATAAGTACGCAAAATAATGAGATTGCTTTGGGTAACGTAAGGAATTGGAAAAAAGGAATAATTTATCCTTTTTTCTATTTAACTGCTTTCAGTTCGTTTTGTTATAAAAGTTACACTTACAACAGAATATTATTTAACACGTCGTGGAGCTAGGGACGCTTTCCTTAGAGGAGCCTGCATATCCCTATAAAAATACAAATTCAAAACAAATAACTGGACATAAAGCGCCAATTTCTGTTATACCCTGCAGCTGCTGATCTTTGTATCATGTTTTCAAATTTAGCTCTTGTCAAAAAATCCGACATTCCTTTGGTCATAGTAGTAGGCTTAATATACCTCTTTGGACTATCCCTTCTGTAATAATCCATTCGAATTTATTACAAAATAATAAATTCAATGTTTTATCAAAAACGCATTATTACCGGAAGATGGATTTATCATTTACGGCTATAAATTCATTCTTTCCTAATTTCTCAACCTGAACATTTTGAGTCGCTTTTCTCTGAGGTGCATTTTGAACTTGGGGAGTTGGTTGCATTTGGGGAGGTTGTGAAACAATTGGAGTCTGCGGTTCGTATCTTTGCTGTACGACAGGATTAGATTGAAAAGCTTGAACCGTGTTGGATTGCTGATTAGGGCTCTGTTGATTTTGAGGTGGTAACTGAGTTTTGTTTCCAGTATTTGGCTTTGGATTTCTTACAAAAGTCCTTTTAGTGATTAAATCTAAATCGAGCCCGTTTCTGCAATAAATTTATTAAAGGCCAAAAGTATTTAAAGAAGATTCTCGATGTGTTACCGAAGGCTTTCTTGCTTTTGTGGGAGCACCCTGTTGGTTGCTGGTGATTGGTTAATTGGAATGGATCCATTCGGTGGTTTCTGAGAGAATGTTGGCGTCGATTGAGTGTAACGAGCTGACTCAGGCAGACCGTAAAGGGTAACTTTTTGATGAGCGTTTTCTTGCTGTTTTCTTACAATGGGTTGAGTATTTGATTGTGTCTGATGTAATGTTGTAGTAGCGTAATTTGTATAACCTGTAGGATTTAGATTTGTGTTTGGCACAGAAACAGACTGATGTGATGGTACGGATATTTGTTGCTGAGGAATGTAATTTTGCGATACTACCTGGTGTTGTTGTGATACGTGATGTGGGTGAGATTGCTGTAGATGAGTTACATTATGTTGAGGTTGTGGTTGAGACTGCTGTGGTCGCAGCGATTGAGGCTGATAAAGCTGTTGCTGTTGTAATAATTGTTGTTGGTGTAATTGCTGTTGTTCCAATTGTTGTTGATGAAGTTGTTGAATCTTCTGCTGTTCCAGTTGCTGCTGCTGTAACTGTTGTTGATATACAATATGCTGTTGGGCCTTTTGCTGTTGCAACTGTTGCTCATATTGTGCTTGTTGATTTTGTACTTCATGTTGTGGTAAATATTTCTGAGTTTGTTGGGGCTCCTGTTGTTGTTGTTGTTGGTTTCCTTGTTGAGTTTGTTGATATTGAATTTCCTGTTGCTGTTGTTTTTGACTTTCTTGTAGTGTTTGTTGATGCACTGGAGGCTGTAGGATTTGCCCTTGTTGTCGTCCCAATTGCTGCTGATGCTCTGGTACCTGAACCAACTGTTGTTGTGGCCGTACTGGCATTTGCTGTTGAACTTGTTGTTCAAGATGTTCAGGCTGCTGCATCTGTTGTGTTGACGATAATAACTGTTGAGTGTGTTGCATTTGGTTTTGCTGCTGCATTTGCTGTTGTTGCTGTAGTGGTTGTTGCTGCTGTACTTGTTGTTGTTGTTGCTGCTGCTGTATTTGTTGTTGATGCTGTAGTAGTTGTTGCTGCTCCATTTGTTGTTGCGGTTGTGTTTGTTGTTGCTGCTGTATTTGTTGTTGCTGCTGTGTTTGTTGTTGCTGCTGTGTTTGTTGCTGCTGCTGCTGGATTTGTTGTTGCTGCTGCATTTGTTGTTGCTGCTTCATTTGTTCCTGCTGCTGTATTTGTTGTTGCTGTTGCATTTGTTGTTGCAGTTGCATTTGTTGTTGCTGCTGCGTTTGTTGTTGCCGCTGCAATTGTTGTTGCTGCTGCAATTGTTGTTGCTGCTGCTGCATTTGTTGTTGCTGCTGCTTTTCTTGTTGTTGTTGTATTTGTTGATTTTGCTGTAAACGTTGCTGATGTTGCATTTCTTGAAGCCGCTGTTGCTGCAATTCCAAACCCTGTTGATGATGCATTTGCTGAGTTTGATGTAATTGTTGTCTTTGTCGTAATTCTTCAGGTTGTAGCTGCTGAACTTGCTGCAAATGTTGCTGGTGCTGCAATTCCATAGCCTGTTGGAGCTGTTGTTGCTGTTGCAACTCTTGAGCTTGTTGTGTTTGCTGAGTGTGCTGTAACTGTTGCTTTTGTTGCAATTCCTGAACCTGCTGCAATTGGAGTTGTTGTTGCAAATGCTGAGCTCGTTGTAATTCTTGTTGTTGCCATTGATTAATGTGTTGTTGATGCAATGGTGACGTCTGCGACACTTCTTGACCCTGTTGTAGTTGCTGCTGCTGTAGCAAATGAGGATTCTGTTGCTCTTGTTGAACAATCCGCTGCTGGCTCTGCAATGACTGTGCATGTTGTAATCGATGTTGATTTTCTTGCTGAACTTGTTGAGTTTCTGGTAATATGATCTGCTGCTGATGAGTTTGTAATCGTTGGGTTTGTTCCAGTGGTTGCTGATGGGTGCTTTGGAAATCTTGCTTCTTCAAAGTTGGGCGGGTTGGCTCCTGCAACTGTTTTTGTTGTTGTTGTAGGTGCTGCACATACTGTTGTTGTTGGCCAATATCCTGTGTAACATTGCCTGCTTGATTGTGAATATTTCCACTAGCAGATCGCATGACTACATTCTGCTGCTCGTAATGCTCTCCACCACCACCCCTTTGTCTTTTAACATGTGCTACGCTGTGAGATGTATTAATTCTTTGGGGGTGATGCATTGTGAATGCATTACGTTGTGGCGTTATCTCCTGCTGTTGATAAATCTGGTCCATGGATTCAACATCTTGCAACCCTGACATTTTCATATTCTTCTTTTCTCTATTTGAATATTGATTGTCCAAATAATTTTGGAGCCTTGGATCGGGCTCTTGTAGTCCAAAGGCGTTTCTAGGAACATATTTGGAGAGATTTTGTTGATTGGATGTTTCTGTAACTTCCCGTACGATTGAATTATTCAGTTGATTGTTAGTTTCGGCAACTTGATTTTGAATATACGGAGTGGAGTTTGTCACATGTTGACTAGGTTGACGATAGTAAGGATTCTGGGACATATTATAAACTGGCATCGCATCTGTCGTTTCTGGAACGTGAGTTAGTTGATTCGGGTCGTAATTCACCATCGGTTGATGAATCTGATTTTGAGTGTAGCTTGCATTTTGACCTTGTTGTTCATAACCATGTGGAATACTATCATTTGCCAATTGTGCTACTTGTTGCTGATAATGTTGGTTATAGTCTTCAACTTGGTTTGTGTAAACTGGTTTAGGAGAAGCAGTTTGAGTAGTGTCTTGTTGAGGAGAAAAGCCCCCTTGATTGGTTTGAGATATGGTTGGAGAATATTGAGCATTCTGACCGGGATGTACATATTGTTGGTTCATTTGTTGATCAATAAGTTGCTGATCGTATTGATGTTGTGGTATTGTTTGATTCATAACGACCTGCTGTTGTCCTGTTTGCTGGACATTTTGAGTATTTAATTGTTGATATTCTGGACGCATTATTTGCTGATTAAGAGTAGCTTGTTGGTAATTAGAATCACAAACAACTTGAGTTTGTTGTCCTGGCTGTGCGTAGTTATTGTTTGACAATTGATGCATTTGATTTGGTTGATCGCTTTGTTGTTGAATGTCATTAGAATCTTGCATAACCTGTTGAGGGTCTTGTTGGTGATGCGTGGCTTGTTGAATGTTTGTAGTTTCAGAATTTGGTTGATTGTTGTAATGTTCATGATGTTGATTACTATTGTCTATTTGAGTTGGATTTAGTTGATTTGTATTGGGCGAACTTTGCTGTGTGGTTAGGGTATTTGGATCTGGATTTGGATAACCCTGCACTTGCCCGGTTTTTTGTCGTGGGGGATATTCGCAAAAATTCCTGTCTATTGCTTCAACTAATTCTTGTCTTGCGCTTTGATGATTTGATTGTTCTGGAGCAATAGGGTGGCTTTGACCATATGGAGCTTGAGTATAGTAAGCTGCAGGTGCACTTACAGTTGTGTGTACAGGTACTGGACTACACGTACGACAATTTTAAATTTGTTAATGTATCAATAATTCATTAAAAGGTGCTTTTTACCTTTGGTAGCCTACATTGAGCGAATTCGGTTGGAATAGACCTACACTATTTGAGGAAAGGGATGGGGTAAAATTAGAGTAAAAAAGGAATCGGATTTTATAATATGGACAATTTATTATATTTTTAATGCCTACACTTACCCAGTTGGTTCACTAGCTCTTGATAAGACTGAAGTTTGATTATGTATTATCTGAAATTGAATTTTTAAAGTTGTAATAAAAAAAATACCCCTTTTATAATAGTATGACAGACACTTTTAAAGATAATATCGTGTTGATTAGTAATTAATTTAATTACAAACATTTTGTAGGTAAGTAAAACCTCGTTGAATATTTATTAGGATCGAATGTGGTTAAGATGCATTAATGTTAGAGTGTAATTAAAATTTTTTAATGTTTTATAGTTGTAATATGTAAATTAACGGTTTATAATTTTCATGAAATTTGCAACGGTATTAATTTGTTTTTTTTTTATTACCTGCCCCATACTGCAAGGAGGTCTAGGTGCCCCATAGCGCCCATATGGGGAAGACGAAGCAGGAGAACTCTGCAAGCCATTAGCCCCTCTAGTTCGAGATGAAATTGCCCTACCATTTATTCATTAGTAAAACAAATTCATTAGTCCAACGAGAAAAGATTATTAAAATGTAACATCACTTCGACAGGTTAATGACGATGATATTAGGGATAAATTTGGGATTAATTTAAAATTTAATTAATTGTTATCTATAAGCAGAAAGCATTACTTCACCGTAGGTAAATGAGTCAATGATAAGGCGTTTATACACATTATAAAATTTTCATCAATTGCATACAATCTTTGACTACCTACATGTACATTATTATTGCAATAATTTTAATCGAATAACTGAGAAATTTGACGCTTGTAATAAGATATTATCAGATAGGTGTAATCAGAGCAGAATGTAAATTTTCTTATGACTCAAAACGAGAGTGGTTCTCACACGAAAACCACAGGCAGGAACTCCGTATGGATAAACTTGTAACACGTATATTAAGCAACGATGGAATTACATGTCAGTAGGTAAAACAATACTTGAAGGATAAATGTGTGTGAACAGCAATACGGATGGCCTATTTAAAATCTTTTAAAAGTTTTATGCCGTACCTGTTACTATCGCCGTCTTCCTTTGCCTGTCGATTCGGAAAGAATTCGTCGAAAACGACAAAATTGTTCATCTGCTTAACCGGACTCTGCAAGCCGTAATGCTTGTTGAGGAATCCCAGAAGCTTGTCACTGGGCCTGTCTATTGCCATCTTTACAGGCTCGACCTTTTCTTTCTAAAATTATTGATACTTGCATGCAAACGCTCGAATGTTGTACAGAATCTAAATTTAAAAAGGGTAAATCCTGGGGATGTAGCCCAGGCATCTTTTTTATATTGCTTGAACTATCAATGATTCAATTAAAATAACGTCAACCAGAAATGAATTCTTTAAAACGGAAGTGCTCAGAACAAAGCAACAATATGAAATACACCATATGAAGCAAAGAACTAATGTCCTAATTACTACTTTAAAGGGTCCTTGCTTGCCTGGTTTAATACAACGGTTCCTAGTTTTGAAGCTTATTTTTTTTTATAGGCAGGTACTTCATTGTAAAGGCCGTAATAATATTCTCTCGAGACCTGGTACATTTCTTACCTCTAGCATGTGCTCAAACAATTTCTTTCCTAAACCCTGTCTCTGTTTTGATTCATGTACGTAAAAGTCCAGCACGCATGGTGGACTCACTTGATAATGTTGACCATTACGATCGAAAACGTACAGGCCTTTTTTGCCAGTTTTCAACATGCCAGTGACTGCTCCTCTTCCACTGAAACAAATCACAAATAGTGTAAAAGGGACTAAAATGAAATGGAGTCTAGAAGAAGAAGAAGATACATCTTTGGGTTGCACTTTTGGTCATAAAATTTAAACCATTATTAGCGGGACGTTCCCGATTTAGGGAAAAATGAAGATTCGATCAGGGTGGAACAGCGTGGAGGTGCGTGTTCCATCAGTCTTAGGACACACGACCCTAAGATGATGATGAGAGAGCGCAAGTGAGCATATGAATTTGGACAATCTCTAGAACCATGAGGTGCTGAACAGATTCTAAAACTTTCTGGCCTTATAGAAAACTACATTATTTTTGGATAACGTAGACTATGCCATATTTTGATAAAGTTAATTGTTAACTTCGAAATCTCAAAATCTGTAAAGCAATCCTTGGCTCGATTATCGACCTGGGCAAACTAAATAGTCATCAGTTAACTGTAATCGAAAACGAGGGCCATGTCGCTGGGTTTCTGGTAGATACATGGTAAGACCTAGAGGTTTAGACCATAACTTAGCATTCGGGAGGACACCGGTTCGATTCTTAGTCTGTCTGCCTTGGTCTAAGTTTTTCTATGGTTTCCTTGGATCAATTAGGTAAATTCTGGGGCAGTAATATTCCTCCGATAATCTTTCATTTTCTTCTGTCTTTATTTCGTCCATTTCATCTTTCTCACCCGAACCACCACCCACCCATTCCCACGATTCCTGAAACGAGGCTGAAGAGGCCTTACCCTTCGGCGTAGTCCGGAGGGACTGTCCGCCCACCAGCATTAGTAGCTGGTGGGAATGAAACACCCAAGTGTTTTTTTTTTTTCGTAGGTACAATATATTTTTGTTCTTTTCATTTGAATTACAAATCCGAAAGAAAGTGGATCTTGCATCTTAATGTTTACCTAAAGGTAGAGATGATTTTCCATCTTCTGGATTCCATGCTAAAGTGCGTGCAGTGCAACGATTAACCTCATTCTGGAATGATTAGACTTTCATGCATCCAACACGTTAATTTACCGGAAACTTTCTAAAATTATTTTCAGCTTCGGGTCATAAATTTCACTAAATAGCGTCAACAATGAGAGGAAATTAACTTTCCGTGTAATTAGATCATTTTTAAACGGTTGCACACGTAAGAGAATGGTCCCGAGGAAAATGTTTGAAAAAGTTACTTCCGTGGGCAATTATTTAAATCTCCTTGAAGTCGGAATAATATTGTCGTTAAAGTGTTTAAAATGGTACAGTCCCTTTGTTGAAATACTCGAACCATTCTAATGCAAATAATCAAACTAGTTGAAAATGTACAAAAGCACAAAACACGAAATACTTACGGAAATCATAAATTATCATAATTAAAAATTGAATTTCAACTGAAAAAATAAAGTAACATTTCGAAATCTACTGATGATCGTTCGGGAATGTCATACAAAGAGTGAAGTTGATCAATAAGTTTTATCCTTTCATTCAAAAAAAATTTTATAGTCATTAATATTCATCAGTAAATTTTAGAACTACAGTCCTCAGATCTTTACATGCATCAAACAACATGACGTTATGAATAATTATAATAATGGTGGTAAATGGTTTGAATGCACGTCAGAAGTTAACATTCCTGCTAATTGTTATTCCGTTTCGTGATAGCAGTTACGGCAAATGTTAAGTACATATTACAATTACACTTTCCTTTACGTGAAGACATACGTCTATACCAGCGGCGACTCTCTAACAAGAGCGAATGAGCAATTGCGCCCCCTTAAATTTTTAAACAATCATATCAAGCGGAGGCTGATTGCGAATGTTAAAGATTAAACTTATTTTTGGGTATTAGTACAGTCATTTGGTAGTTTTGCCTGGAAAGTTTTCCGGGAGTTTTGAAAATTGGTAATTTTATAAATTTTGAGGTGCTCATTCCGAATTTCAACTTTGCCACCTCGTATATTTGCCGCTCGCACCGCCATATTGGAAAAATGGCGCCTAAATGCAGNTTCGTAAACAAGGAAGCGACGAAAATGTCGCTTTCTCTCTTCAAATGAAACCGCAATCAGCAAAAGGGCAACCGAAAATGAAATTGGTTCCTTTTAGAATTTTAAATTTATTTGGGTAAATTTTATCAACTTGTTGATTGAGAACTTCAAAAAGCTTTGACTGCATAATTCACCTTGCATTTTTATATAGTTTGTACGTTCTTCCCCATTGCAAATGGTCTTGACCCATTGCTGAAGGATTAAATCTAATTGAGACACTGGACACTGTTAATTTAGAAGCCCATTTTAAAAAGAATAATTAATTGTAACAACTAGTTTTGGAAAAACCTGAAGGATGAAAATTTATAAAAGAATAAAACTGAGCCTTCGCCAGTGAGGCTCAAATCCATCTTACATTGACTTGTGGAGCCTGCAGAATAGCGTCCATCTTGTTAACTGTTTTTTAGTTTTCAGCTATATTTCAGGGTCTTTGGATACATAAAAGATTATATTAAGTAATAATTTTTTATTAATTTGTACAAAGTTATCAGCAAAATCCACCTTAAACCTTTCCTGATTAGATACCTGTTAAGTGTAGGTTCCCAAGGTTCATTAATGAGTTAACTGTAGGTAGATAAACTCAATCAACACGTCAAGCAGTTTTATAAATATTTTTTTATATATTGTAAAGAATTTCGATAATGGCTTTATATTTATCGGAAAAGTAAGTAAAAGGTAAGATGAAACGAAAAAATTTTGTTGTACGCATATATTTTTTAAATGACGAACTTGCTTTACGTCACTACATTTAATTATGAAATTATAAAAGAAGGACACAACAATTTTTGGAGGCGTCTGAGAATTTTGAATGAGCTATTATTTTCGTTAACATTCCATTGGGGCGTATTGCCAAAAAATTTGTTAGATAGCGTAGGTACATTAGATATTTTATTATTACAATCTAAATAATAGGTACATATAGTTCAGAAATTTAGAAAATGAAATTATTAAAACTAGATAGGTCCATTTCGTTCCGCTAAATGGTAACTGAAGTAAAGAATAGTGAGGTACTGCAAACGAAATGTTTGGGTGGAAGATGAAGGCTGGCATGTAATTTTAACAAAATAGTTAGTTAAAAAATAAAACTATTTACATTTTTCTAACTAATTATGTTGAAGCTATTTTATTTTGATTAATTTTTCTCTGTTTAAAACAGAAATTGCCTTGTATCTAGTACAAAGTTTTAAATTATTGTTTCTATGGTTGTGACTACTGATTTTTTGACGTAACCATAGGTAAGACAAGATAATTCATTCTGGAGGTTAGTTTAACTGTTATCAAAGGAATGATAAGAACGTTGCTCTTATCGTTTTTATTTGATGTGAATAAATTGAGTCATAAAATTGTATGAATACGCGAGTACAAAGTAAATTATAATTGATTAAAACCATAAGTAATGGAGGTAAGTTTAGCACTACTTGGGATTAGGATTATACCAAATTTTAGCAAGTTTTTTATTTTAGAAAACTGCAAGCAAACGAAATGTCCCTCCAATTATTAGGAAGATATTGGATATCGACGTTAAACTTACAGAAAAATTTGTATTGTGGGCAAACCAGTTTGTCCCACTTCGATCATTACGTACACATTACAAAATTTTGGAGGTAAATATATTTGGTATATTTTGAAGGAGAGAAAAACTGAAACACTTCTTTAGATAAGCTGCCATGGTATTGCTTGGTTTGCATGCTGGATTGCTTTCATGTGGGTCTATACTAGCAAGTCTCTTGTTCAAATGCAAATTAACATGCTACTTGGTAGGTGTTCTGTTATTGTAATGTTCATGTTTTATACTTAAATAAAAATTATTTCAGGTTTAATTATTGACATAGTATTAATTGCTGTGATAAAAGCATATACTCGAAGAAGAAGACCACCTGCAAATAAGAACGATTCCTTTGCAGAGATGGGTCCTGATAAATTTAGTTTTCCATCAGGTCATGCATCTAGAGCAGCCTATGTAGCCTATTTCTTCTGCAATTTGTACCCACTTCCAATTATATTTTGGTTGCCAGTACTGTCTTGGGCCACAAGCGTGTCTTTGAGTAGAGTTCTTCTAAATAGGCATCATGTTTTGGATGTAATAGTTGGTGTCTTGCTGGGGATTTTGGAAGGAATACTTTTAGGTTTCTTATGGTTAGATCAAGAAACCGCATTATGGATGTGGAATTCATTAACTGATGAGAAGCTCCAAGGTGGAGAATTCCATGTATAATAATTGATAGTGAGATTATGAACTGTTACCAGTTTATAGCATACATAATTTTCTGTATGTCTTTAACATTACGGATTGTTTGTCAATTATTTTAAATTTATTTTTATGATTTTTTGTGAATTACTCCTTACAGACGATTAAATAAAGATTTTATACTACATTTTTACCGATTTCTTTTTTGTTTTTTAATTTCCCAACCCCTAGTTATTCAGACGTAATCAAATATTAATTTTTGTAATTATGAGTAATAGTAAAATTAGCCACAAAAAAGCAACATATTGGAAAACGAGTGGTTTTTTTATTTTGATTCTATGCATATACTTCAGTAAAGAACCAATGCACAGTTATTTCAAATTGTTTAGAAATAAAAAGAAGAAACCCCAATAAAAATAATGAATATTCTCTATTGTATGTCTGTGACATGACTACAATATTCATTAGTAAAGCAAGTTCTTCCCCCCTATCAGTCACTGTTTGCTACAACTGCACCTCTGCTTCGAGTGGTCGAAATTCACTTTTGTGAACAATTTGTTTAATCGCTTTCTGTGTTAAAAATTGTTTGAAAAACGTTTGGGTCAATTCTTTATATTCACGCGGTTTAAAGCATTGTCATAGTGACAGCAACAGTTAGAGAGTAAGAGTTAAAGTTTGACCTGTGCTGAAAGCACTCATATTTTTATTTTACCCGACGACAACACTAACTTTATAATAAGTGTACCAGAGGCATTCGTAAACAAGGAAGCGACGAAAATGTCGCTTTCTCTCTTCAAATGAAACCGCAATCAGCAAAAGGGCAACCGAAAATGAAATTGGTTCCTTTTAGAATTTTAAATTTATTTGGGTAAATTTTATCAACTTGTTGATTGAGAACTTCAAAAAGCTTTGACTGCATAATTCACCTTGCATTTTTATATAGTTTGTACGTTCTTCCCCATTGCAAATGGTCTTGACCCATTGCTGAAGGATTAAATCTAATTGAGACACTGGACACTGTTAATTTAGAAGCCCATTTTAAAAAGAATAATTAATTGTAACAACTAGTTTTGGAAAAACCTGAAGGATGAAAATTTATAAAAGAATAAAACTGAGCCTTCGCCAGTGAGGCTCAAATCCATCTTACATTGACTTGTGGAGCCTGCAGAATAGCGTCCATCTTGTTAACTGTTTTTTAGTTTTCAGCTATATTTCAGGGTCTTTGGATACATAAAAGATTATATTAAGTAATAATTTTTTATTAATTTGTACAAAGTTATCAGCAAAATCCACCTTAAACCTTTCCTGATTAGATACCTGTTAAGTGTAGGTTCCCAAGGTTCATTAATGAGTTAACTGTAGGTAGATAAACTCAATCAACACGTCAAGCAGTTTTATAAATATTTTTTTATATATTGTAAAGAATTTCGATAATGGCTTTATATTTATCGGAAAAGTAAGTAAAAGGTAAGATGAAACGAAAAAATTTTGTTGTACGCATATATTTTTTAAATGACGAACTTGCTTTACGTCACTACATTTAATTATGAAATTATAAAAGAAGGACACAACAATTTTTGGAGGCGTCTGAGAATTTTGAATGAGCTATTATTTTCGTTAACATTCCATTGGGGCGTATTGCCAAAAAATTTGTTAGATAGCGT